TTGATCTTATTGGTAATTCTGTAAGATGACTAATGTGTACTTCAAAAATGCAGGTAATATTAAAATTTTAAAGGAAGCACTATAATAGCCCCAACTTTATGAATCTTCTAAAAATAAAATTGATGTCTATCTAAGACCTTTTTTCCCCTAATCCTGGTTCAATATAAATTTTAATAACAATGTGGAATGGAAATGAAAACTTTGCCCATCTCTGAGGCCTAACTTCTTTTTCATAGGAAATAGACTATACTAGGCATAACTTGTTACATGTCTGATATACTATCAAAAAAAATTTTTTAATTTCTCATTTGTGATCCTACTAAACAGAAAACTTTGGGAGAGTTAAGTAACCTAGGTTGAGGGTGTAGTCTCCTGTCTAAACTCCTTTAGGTCACATTGATTAGATTGGTCAATTGCATGCAGAGGTTGTTTCATATTAGCTGGTATTTCTTTATATGTATCTTTTTATTTCTTCTCACCTATACTGTAGGACTTTATAACAGGGACCTTCTTCTTAATTTATTTTCCCCTGTATTCACTGTAACTCTTACTGCAGCACTCTGCAGCATAATAAATATTAAATACTTGTTGGCTGAGTGAAATAATTGGGAGAGAGGAAAGCAAGCAATAAAGAAAAATAGAGCAAAATTACTTCAGAGTACATGAATTCTGATGCAATGTAATATTTCTTGATTCTAATAATGTACAGAGTTCCATGGAAATAACTTTATGTTCTCTAAATCAGTTTGTAAGGAATCTACTTACATATCAATGAATGAAATTTTGTTTACATTTCTTTGAAAAATGATTTCTATGACTTTTGTTAGCTGATCTTTTAAACAGAAGTTTTAGATATCTTGTTTTTATTTGAAACTCACTAACTTTAACATACTTGGTCACAACATAATTCCTTACATCTGAGGATACATCGTGTCTTTAAATTTCTGAACGTCTCTGATTTCTAGCCCATATTTTTATAGATAGGATTTATTTTAGGCATTGAACCTATTGGCTTTAAACTGTGGTTTATGGTTATGTTAGATGAACATGTTTGCTGTCCACTCTGATTTATAATCAGAGAGAAGAGTATTTTTACTTCACTGTTATGAAACCCAGCAGTACGAATCATTTACAGTCTTGCCTTGGTCCTGCTTTCTTACTAAGGCTATATAACTTAGTCGTTATTATTAACGTTAATAAATCAAGCTTTCTCTCATTACATGGTCACCGTAATATAGAAAATTAAGAGTGATCTTAAAGATACTAAGTCTGAATAAATGTAAAATCCTCATGTTAGAACTATGTTGTACAATAAAAACTACATATAAGAACTTTTTTAGCATATGATATTAAGAAGATCATGGATGTAAGCATACGCCATACTTGCTGAAAGATTTGTCATTTTTCTTAGGTACTTTTCTGATAGTGTATATTGTGATTTGTAGTTGCTTTTTATGTTAATTGTGGATTAAGTTTATATTCAGTGTTATTGAAAATACTTTAAAACATACTTATTTCTGAAATTAATGTCCTTTACCAGTAACAGGGGGTATCACAGAAGAGCAGTTTCAGACACATCAACAGCAGTTAGTTCAAATGCAAAGGCAGCAACTTGCTCAGCTTCAGCAGAAACAGCAATCTCAGCATTCCTCGCAACAGACACATCCAAAAGCACAGGTAAACCTATCTTGTAATAATGATTATGCCTCTTTCTTTCATAATTATGTAGTTTTGCTTAGTTTTAGTCAAATCACAGAAGCTAACCTCAGTTTTGCCACTCTTGATTTGGGGGGTCTAACCTAAATTTTTTTTTTTTTTTTTTTTTTTTTTGAGACAGAGTCTCACTCTGTTGCCCTGGCTAGAGTGAATGCCGTGGCGTCAGCCTAGCTCACAGCAACCTCAGACTCCTGGGCTCAGGTGATCCTACTGCCTCAGCCTCCCGAGTAGCTGGGACTACAGGCATGCGCCACCATGCCCGGCTAATTTTTTCTATATATTTTTAGTTGGCCGATTAATTTCTTTCTAATTTTAGTAGAGACGGGGTCTCGCTCTTGCTCAGGCTGGTCTGGAACTCCTGAGCTCAAACAATCCGCCCGCCTCGGCCTCCCAGAGTGCTAGGATTACAGATGTGAGCCACCGCGCCCGGCCCTAACCTAAATTTCTTTTCACCTAATGTACATGATTTTAAGTGACTAGTTTATAAACTAGTCTCTTAATATTTTGAGAAGAGTACTAGAGCCAAATATGGTATTTTTAATCCAAGAAAGAGCCAATTACTCTTTTCTTTGAAGGGTTATTGAAAATTTGTAGAAGTAACTATATATTCTTACAACCATCATCCCCTACTTCCCCAAAAAAGATAATTTTTAAGGACATAACTTTTTTTTTTAACCTGGTTTGAACACACTAAAAGGATATAACTTTGCTAACCACTTCCTAAACTATGTGTTTAAGTGCCATGTGGATGTGCCCCATGAGCTGAGAGGTATTAATAATTCGCTTGAATAGTGCAATAAATTTAGACAGTACAGCCTTTTGCCTCTGTGAATCACATTTTCCTATAGAAGAAAAAATGCCACTAGGAGAAGTTGTTCATAGACATCATTAAATAAAGACACTAGGGATAAGAATAAAAATACTTCATAAAACCATAATTGTCAGAAGGAACTAGCCTTGCCAGCACCTTGATTTTAACCCCATCAGACTTCATTGTAGACTTCTGGCTTCCAGAACTATAAGAGAATAAATTTTAAGTCACTAAAAACAAAACTAAGGAATATATTTGAACCACCTGAAAAAAAAAACAAGCCTTGCATTTAGGTCTTAAGTTTTTGTTTCTCCATAATCCTAAAACTACTTCTGAAATAATACCTGAGAATAACTCAGTCTTGGTTATATGCTGTGAGATCTCAGGGCAGATCTGCCCAAAGTGTTTCAGCTCAGTTTCAAAGGGTCAGGACACTGACCTTGAAGATCCTGATTCCCAAAACATGAAAATCCCGGTAACCCTGGTCCCCATCAATGCTCCCGTGACATCCAGGTGGATCTGGGGCTGGCTCAAAGACTAAGGCTACTGGATTTAGTAAGAGTTAACCAGTTTTATATAGAATCAAGGAGGAATGGCCATTTAATTTGCCTTTGTTTGCTTTTTCTGTGTCTCTTGGTAACCGGCCTAAAGTATTTTTAGCCTACTTCAGGGTTAATTCAAGACAAGTTTTTTTACATTGTGACAAAAATGACTACTAGTCATCTCTGTGCTTTCATTTCACCCATTAGTATCTAGCTTGTCAAGCATTTTTAAAAACATTCCTTAACATTTATAGGAAAAATTAATAGAACATTAAAGGTTTGGGTTTTTTAATCCCCTAGATCTTTCTCAGAAATAACTACTTCCCAGTTTTTAGTAACGTCCCTGCCTCGTATGCCAAAAATAGTCTTTGGAGTCCTAGATCTCTTAATCTAAACAATTGTAACTCTTCAAGTTTAGAAAGGCAACAACATCTTGGGTTGTTCCTTAATATGTTCATGAAATCACATCTGAAAAATAGAATTTAACTTTGTTTGTTTTATAGGGCTCAAGCACCTCTGACTGTATGTCTAAAACACTTGACTCAGCCAGCGCCCACTTTGCTGCATCTGCGGTGGTCAGTGCACCTGTTCCAAGTCGCAGTGAGGTAGCCAAGGAACAGAATACTGGCCACAACAACATAAACGGTGTCGTCCAGCCTTCAGGTACGGCTGGGGTTTCACGTGGTACTTACTAGCTTGAAGGTGTAACTCACTGGTTTGTGGTATGGTTTTTCTTTTTTATATCCAGGGAGAAATTGTGTGTAAGAAATCAGTCAAGACTCTTCAGAATTTCTTTGGAAAGACGGGGAAAATAGCTGAGTGTTCTAGAACTCCCAGAGAGCCTGCTTCATTTCCTTCTGCACCCACTGGGTGCCTACCTGAGTAACACTCCACCCTTCCTGGTTTCATTCACATACTGTCAGTTGCTTTGCATCTTAGGAAATCCATCAAGCTAATTATTGTACTAACCATCACCATTGAATCATCTATTCATTGATAAAAAGATGAAACATAATCCAGAACGGTCTGTAATAAATTTGAAATTGGGTTTACCTTCCCACTCTCACATACTCATAGGCATACTTTTCTCTGACTCTTCCTCTTAAGAGACAGTATTGCTAGTACAACCCCTGTGGAAAGTAATTTGGGGATTCCTCAAAAAGCTAAAAATAGAAATACCCTTTGATCAGCAATCCCACTACTAGGCATCTGTCCAAAGGAAAAAAAGACATTCTATAATAAAGACATCTGCACTTGAATGTTTATATCAGCACAATTGCAAAGATGTGGAAACAGCCCAGATGCCCATCGATACATTAATGGATTAATAAAATGTGGTATATGTATACCATGGAGTTCTACTCTGCCACAAAAAACAGTGGTGATCTATCACCTCTTGTATTACCCTGGATAGAGATTGAGCCCATCCTTCGAAGTGAGGTATCACAAGGATGGAAAAATGTGCACCACATGTACTCACCATCAAATTGATACTAACTGACCAACACTGAGTTATTCACATGGTAGTAATACTCACTGGGTGCCAGTGGGGGGGGGCGGGTAAATTCACAACTAATGGAAGCGGAAATGCACGTATTGGGGAGGGACATGCTTGTAGCCCTGGTTTGGGTGGGGCAAACAGCATTACATTTAGCCAAAATGTTTATATGCCCATAGTATCCTGAATGAATGACAGTATTGCTGTGAAACTCTGCTTCTTAGTACCCTGAGTCCTCAAAGACTTGCTATTCTTGTCATCCTTCGACCACCTCTCAAACCCTAGGATTTTCCAGTTGCTTTTACATATGCCCATGATCTTGATTGTCCATTCTTACTAATGTTCACGCATCTGCAAATTCTTAGGGAAATCCAGCTATCATTTTGTATGTATGTATACTGTGTCCACAGTTGCCAGATATAAAGGCAGCGGAATACCTCTTAGAAAGCCTTTTCATACAGACCAATAGAAAGAGGGGGTGTCTTTGGGGTTGTAACAGGTGAGTATGTTGTATTTTCTGAACAGAAGCTCTCTTTGGAGAGACCATTATTTAATTCAGTGATATTTAATTCAAAAACAAATGTTTGTTTTTTTAATTAAACTCCTAAAAATAAAGAGTTTTATTAATGTCTCATGATACTAATTGAATGATTTTTTTTTCCTTCTCTTTCAGGAACCTCTAAAACATTGTACTCCACCAATATGGCTTTATCATCCAGCCCAGGGATTTCAGCAGTACAACTTGTAAGGACAGTTGGCCACACCACTACAAACCACTTAATCCCAGCATTGTGCACAAGCAGTCCTCAAACACTTCCCATGAACAATTCCTGCCTGACAAATGCCGTGCACCTCAATAATGTCAGTGTTGTTTCTCCAGTCAATGTGCATATCAATACACGGACTTCAGCACCGTCGCCAACAGCCTTAAAACTTGCCACAGTTGCTGCCAGTATGGACAGAGTGCCAAAGGTTACTCCCAGCAGTGCCATCAGCAGCATAGCAAGGTGTGTGTTCATGTGTTTCAAGTATCATTCTCTCGCTTTGTGCTGGCTATCCTGTGGGAGGAAAAAGACTTTTTTTTTTTTTTTTTTACTGCTCTAGCAATTTGTATCCGTTGACAGTCTTGCTTTTCAACAGGTACTGATAATCTGCTTAATATAAAGCTCTGTGACTTAGATTATTTGTTTTAGGTCCCTAGTAGGATGCTTAAATGCCAACCAGAATTGTAAAAAAAATTTAAAAAAAAGAAAAACCATCAAATTGGCAAATACATCAGAGTCTATTTTAGAAGCTTAGTTACTCTTTTGTGTGTATGTGTGTGTGTATAAAAATTTTTTTTGTAGTTTAGGCAGTGTGGAAAATTAGTGCTATTGTTATTAATTCCATACCTGAGTTTAGGTCTCCAATCAAAATTTGTGTTTTTTTCAGTATTATACCCAAAAGGAAAGTAAATTATTCTATGTATATATTAAAATTGAGAATATTCTAGGATTAACAAAATCTATAATAATGTATTGCAGAGTGTGATTTTATATTTCTATCTATGATACTAATACAAGGAGAACAGTGAATCGGAAAAAAAATAATTTGTGTGAGTTAATAAGTATATGACCTTAGGCCTGTAAAATTAAATTCTAGTGGAAAGTAATTTTGTGCTTCTGATGATTTTTGAGCATGTCCTTTATCTGTTGTAAGAAAAAACTTGGATTGCCTTGTGTTACATATTTCATAAGTAGTTTATCATTGGCATCTACTGAAATACTATGTTAAATTATGATCTTTCATAAGTAAATAGCTGTAATCAAGTAATTATACATTGATGGCATTTCTAAGCTGAAGAAAACTTTTTCTCATTTGTGTCTAGAAATGGTAAAAGTGGGAAATGTTCTTATGAAGTCATGTTTAGTTGTAGTTATATAAAAACGTATTTGTAAATGCTAAGTGATAACATCATATTCTAGAAAGTATTAATGTTTATTTTTACTCTTTGCCTTATTACAGAGAGAACCACGAACCAGAAAGATTGGGTTTAAATGGAATAGCAGAGACAACAGTAGCTATGGAAGTGACATAACCTGAAACATGTGGCTTTGACCTGTGCTGATGATGTGCAGTCATTCATATTCCAGCTGAATGCAAAAGGTGACGCTCTGTGGATCACAGAGTGTAAAAATGGACCTAAATGGACTACAGTATATCGGATGTTAAATCGATATATGATGTATATTTTGTAAAATTGGGAAAATCACTACCTTGTAAAATAGTTTATTTGTATCATCAATATTATTTCTGTTACTTGAATAGTAGATATTCATCATCATGCTTTTGCACTTGAATTTGCAACTGAATGGATTTTAAAAAATAATTCTTTAATGGGATCATGAGCATGAAATGGGATCCTGCATCACTTGTTTTAACTATTTATTTTGCCATGTTTACATTTTGTATCTTGTAAAAATAAATCCAACTTTGTGTCTAAAAAGTTAAAGATTCATAGCTAGGAAATGAAATTCTTGTAATTTTTTTCTAAAGGAACTGTAAAGTTTTCACTTCGTTCATTTTGTTTCACAATTTGACTAGATGGACTTTTTGGTAAATACTTTAGTGGCATTTCACTGTCAAATATGAAGTTCAAGGCAAAATAGTATTTTCTATTACCGTGCAGGGGAAAGGGATGGATCGATACATGCAAATTTAATGTAGTAACTTCACTTTTCCATATATTTTGAATGTATATTTCTATTTATAATACCAGTTTATAAAAAATGATTACACAGAAAAAATGGACTAGGAAAAATTATGCATCTAGCACATTTAAACTGTGCAGATATGAAAATTTTTCAAGGATTACATTTTATCTGAAGACTGCATATTTTAACTGGCTTTAAAACTGTAACTCACCACATAAAAGATATTTTACCAGGTATGTATTGCATTATATCATTGCAATAATTATTGGAAGTCTAGATATCGAGCCATCCCAGGTGTTGGGGCGGGGTGGGGGGAGGGTTGTGGCAAGATTGTCTTTTCAATTTTGGAGAGTTTTCCTGTGGCTACAAGGCAAGTAACGGGTTGGAAAAAGTCTGACTGTAAGCGTTGGACACCTTCATAGTGTAGTGTTTTAGTGACTTTTTTTATACGGTTCTTGTAAATTAGATACGTGTAGTGGTGTTTCAGAATGTTTGTTTATGCACTAGTTCAGACAACTTTCCCTGTTACTTGTTCTTGATAAGTGAAAACTGCAGGGAAATAAAAAATACATATCAAAACATGGACATGCTGCATATGTGTTTATTTCACAATGTGCACACAGTGTAAGTGGAAATTTAAGGGAGATGATAGCACTTAACAGCACTTTTCATTTTCACAGTGCTTTCTAAGCATTAATGGAAAGAATATGAGCAGCTCATCTGTGGGCACTATTGGGTTTCAGATAATCCAATATAAACTACCTTTGATATGAAAAGTTCTTAAAATATTTTACAGAATGTAAGTAATTTGCAGTATACTAGTCATTGAAATCTCATAAATGAGCCTCATTTTATAAATAAAAATTTAGAGTAGAATTATATTGCAAGGGGGTTTTGTCAAGTAAGTACTGGGAAATGTAAATATTTTTAATGAATATAATTAAAACCATTTCAAACTTACATAATTTTATACATTTTTTATATCTGCAGTCCTGAAAGTTGTAAATTGATATGTCAGTTGAATTAATGGGCCAAGATTTCTGCTGAGAGTGGTTTTTGTTCAGGTCCTAAATGTGTAAAGCAATTTATGGTCAAAACCATAGGAAAAAATAAATTTAATTTCTTCATTGGTTGTGACCTGATAGGATCCATGCTCATTTCTGCCATACTACCTCTGGAGTCACTCATTGCTGATTATATAAAGGAAATAATTTTGATTTGATATGTATTATGACTGTGTTCATTCTGCTCATAGTTGGATGTATCTCCTTGCTATTAAGAACTTAAAACTTTAGTGCCAATTTCAGTGAAAGCTTTTTTTCCCATTTTACTGAAGTAAAGCATGAAGTGAATTTGCCTTATGTGATATATGTTATAAATAAGTAAAACAAAAGAACTATCCATTTGTACAGTTTCTGGAGGTGGTGGCAAATCCAGAACTTATCAAAGACTGATGACCAATTTATTTGTTCTTTTTAAAGTAAAATAGAAAAATAAGCCTTCCTTATTTTGGTCATTGTAACTGTTTCATGGATGACATTTCAGTTACTTTCATATATGTTTCTCCAGTGATTTTCAAAAAATTTACAGATTTTTGTTTTCACTTTATTAAATTGAAGAATAATTTATTTTTGCACTGGACAGTACACCAAACCTGTTGGTTTTCTGAGAAAATTAGTATTGGTACTTGGAGTCCAGTAAGCTTTTAGAATCATTGGAGAATGTGTTTTGTTCGAGTGGGTGGGGGTGGAAGGTTTTTTTCGTTTTGTTTTTAATTAACGAAGGGGTAAATTTCATGGGCTAGGATACCCTTTAATTCAGTATAGATAAAAACATTTATAAACTATATTTTCTGCCTTCCTAAAGAGAGTATTCCCCCTCCTTTCCCAGTAATTCAAGGTAATTACTATGATGTAGTTCTAGGTATATTTGAAGACGTGTTACATGTAATTCTTTTGCAAAAGACCAAGGGAAAAATAAAAATGTTTGGAGGGCACGTTTAAAAAATACGTATATATATAACATACACATACATTCTGGCTTTTTTAAAAATAGGAAATACAGTATTTGCAACTGTGCATAGTGTTTTTTTCTTACCAAGGCTGTTTTGGGGATCGGGGGTGGGAGAGAACAGTAAAGGAGAACTGACATTTCAGACACTTTTCCCTAGTATGTACCACTGTATTTGAGTGTGATGCTACACTTTTCAGTGGATTTTGTTGATCAGTAATACTGTGACTGAAGTGTTTTGTTGTCTCAACTGAGTTAGCAAACGTACAAATTTTAAAAGGTAAGGATATCTTAAGCAATTCTGAATATATCCTGTAAGATAAAAAAAACTCTTATCACTAACAGCAACATAATAATAGCTAATGTCATGAAGTATGTAGCACTCTCTCTTAGTGACTTTTTCATTTAGTCCTAACAGCAATTCTGTAAAGTACTATTATTTTTCCCATTTTACCGATCAGGGAAATGAAGTTGAGAAAGGTTAAGTAACTTACCCCATGTCCATAGCTGGTAAGTCACTGTGCCAGGAATTAAACCTAGGTAGTCACCACACTTCTAAATACTGCTTCCCATCTTTAACACACAAGAAATCCGCTTCAAAGAAGTACTTACTAAATTTCTCAGTCCACTGGTAAGCAGCATCCGTAGCAGAGTTTTAAATTTCATTTAGAAGACAGCCTCGCCTCCCCCACTCTTACTCTGCCAGGCTGAGTGTATGAGATGCAACTGTGGCTTCTAGGCATCCGCTGAGCAAACCTAAACCAATCAGTTTTTCCTCCTCTGTCTACCAGACCGGGCCAGTAAGTGCTGATGCTCCCGATTAACATAAGGCAATGGGAGCTGGGTCTGGGCCAGGACCTGGCTGTTTATCCCTTTCTGGACCTTGGTCTCCCCTGTCTACAAGATGAGCAAGTTCCTGAAACTCTAAGGAGACCACACTGAGAAGCTTGACAGAGGTGTCCATGCAGTACATATGTCATTGGTTGCTCACCAAGGAAGTAAATGATATGGAATCTAAGGCTGAGCATACAGTTAGTCTAAAGCTCTTTTTTTTTTTTTCTTTTGGTAGGGAGGTCACTGATGTCATCAAGGCTGACTATGGACAATTGTATTACATCACGTAAAGTAGCTGAGCCTGTGAGGAATTCTAACCAACTTAAATGACTGCAAGTCTCATAAGGGCACAAGAATTACATATTTTTTAGAGGAGAGGACAATGGGGGAAACAATCAGGATATAGTGTGGTAGAATATCAAGAGAATTTGCTGAGCTGGATTTTTAATCTTTTCTCTGCCATCTAATTGGCTGGTGATTTTTTTGTCTCCACATCTCTGAACTTGTGCTATATGACGAATGGGTGGAATTAGATAACCTGTAACATCTCTGCCAGCTCCAATGCTATAGGAATCTAATCTCTCCCCACCCCACCTCCCCAGGTGGCTCTCTTGCTTTCCAGAAAAATGACCTCCATTGCTTTTCCATGGATTTTCCAGCGCCATTCAGAAGGATCAGTAACAAATCAGAACCTGTGTGCCCATCTATGACTCCTTTTCCTTCAGCTATTGTCTGAAGGGGGCTACCTGTTTCAAACATGGACTTTTTTTTTTTTTTTTTTTTTTTTTGCTGTGATTTACTGTAAAAGCTTGAAATTCTAGCTTAGGGAAGAGAAAGGCAACACTAAGCCACATATTTCTCCAGCAATAATTTAAAGAGTCCTGTGTATACTTTAAGGTGTCCTGTTAGTTTTATGAGATCTCCCTTCGAGTATCATTGCATATTTGAACAAAACCCTTACCACACCAGCTGACTCATTAGAATAACACTGCCAGACAAGAAGTTGACAAAATATCTCTGAACACTGATTATCCCTCAGGAAAACCTAGGATTCTGCAGTTACTTTTCACAGCTAAAACAAAAGAGACTGACTCCAATACCCGCCCCCCCCCACACACACACACAAAATAATTTCACCTTCGGTGTACAAACCATTGATTTGATGAACAGCACTCACTAGAGCAATGACATTTTCCATTCACTAATGTTGAAAACATTTAGCCATTATTATATAGAAGAACACTATGTCCTTCCTCTGTTTAGTTCATGGGCACACACAGCTGCTGTCTAACCAGTACCTGTCTCATGTGCTCTTCTCACTGCCGTAAGTAGATTTTGTTCACTGACCAAGTGAGCCCAGATTAGGGATGGCCAAGATGTAAGATTTTAGCTTTTAGCATAGGACATCTATCTGTGTTAGTTACCTACAGCAGAGTAAACACTATTATAAACTTAAAGCAACACACATATTATGTGGGTTAGGAACCTAGCACAAGGCCAAAATCAAAGAGGTACCTGGGCTGCATTCTTATCTGGTGGTTCACGTGGGGAAAGATCCATTTCCAAGCTCCTCAGGTTGTGAAGTAAGAGGATTCCAAACAGTGGACACTCTCCATTGCTGACTTTGAAGTAAATTTCTATCCATAAGCTTGGAGTGCTCTTACTTCAGGTAAGGTCTCAGCCCTCTGAAAGGAGTCACCTGATTAGATCAGGCCCATGCAGCATAGTCTTTGATTAGTTCAGTCAAACTGATTAGGGGCTTTAGTTATGTCTGCAAAGTCTCTTCACCTTGGCCATATTTTATCAGAAGCAGGTCATTAGCCTTCCCCACACGCAAGGGGAGGGAATTACACAAAAGCATAGATACTGGGAGACAGGAATCAAGGCCAACCTAGGGTGTGTCTGCCACAACATCTGTGTAAATTGGATTAACTCCATCCCACCACCAGACACCCCAGTGTTCCCCCATCTCAGGACCTTGGATTAACTCTGTGTCTCAATAAAACTCATGCATTTATGAAGAAACAGTTTAAGATATTCGCTAGTGCAAACATTTTACTATTTTGCAAATCATAAATTCTACAATCCTGGATGTTAGGAGGTCAAGTCAGGACTGGAGGTAAGACTGGCAGCAGCAGCAGCACCAAAGCCTTTGTAGAAAGTGGAACAGATGAGTTCAGCCAGAGAAGGAGCAGGCTGGGGAAAAGAAAAGTGGAACAGCAGAACCTTAGCACCTTGGTGGCCAAGGTAGGGGGCAGGAGGCAGAGGGAGAGACCAGGCAGCAGTGGGGAGGAGGATCATCCAGAGGGTTCTAATTTCTTCTAGCAGAGGTAGAGCACAAGGGGAAGAGGTAAGTGGTTAGTAAGAAAGAAAGGTGATGAGAGGGTAGCAGTGACGAGGTAAGAAGAGTATTGAGGACAGATACTCGGGTTGGAGAGCCTGCGTACAAGCCCCGTCCACTGTGTTTAGCCATCAGAGGCACCTAGGAGAGCTTTTAAAAATACAGATGTGTGGCTCTCATGCCAGGCTGATTGAATCAGAATCTCCGAAAGGGAGTTAGGATACTAGTCTGTGTTCGTGTTAGTTCTTTTGTTTGCTTGTGTGGTTGATTGGCTGGCTGCTCGTAAGCTCACCAGATGATTGCAGCTGAAGTTGGGAATGACTAGTCTAATCTTTCTGTTTCACAGCTGTGACTATGGACAAGTAACTTTACTGAAAACCCCAGAATTGATTTCCT